AAATTTGGAGCTTTCCTTTCATTTATAAATTTGTCTTTTTGTTGTTCGTCATTGCGATTCCTGGGTATATTCGTTTTGAGGCGTTCCAATGCGTGCTACATTTAATAAAGGAAGATAAATATGTGATTTCCATTCTGCCTACCTTTCTACCCCCCCTCTCTACCATGTATTGGACAATAATACTTCTGACATTAAATGTGTTGCATGATATGTTATGCACAGGGTTATATTGTGTATGTTAATTGCTTGCTGATTGCTATTTGTTGGGTTCTCGTTAAAAGGTATATGACTGACAATCTCGTTATGTTGGTGTGTTAGCTGAGTGGAAATTTGTCACGCAATCAATTAGAGTCGTGATATGGACCTTATAATTGTGCTTAGTAATTATGTACTTAGATTGTCCCATTCATTATAATGACAAATGTCAATTATGTAATTCTGCTTTTCTAAAATTAACATTGGATCTCACCACCACCCTTCCAATATTATTTGGGTCTGCTCCCTATGAAAATGCCATGGGAATCCAAACTTATCGTAAAGTGTTTACAAAATCAATGCCACCTGTGTGACAACTCTATATTGAAGTCATAATCAGCCAAACATGTTTCCTCCAGTATGACAATCAATATGTGTACGTCATACGCATATGTGACTGGTGACACCGTTAAACAGGGCGCCTTGTACGGTTAACTGAAACCACATACATGTACGGTGATACCAAACATGACACATTCTATCTAGTATACTGCAATCTTTTCCAGTTTGGAAATTTACTGAGTTCGCAAGTTGAACGAATTTTTCTTCACACAGACTGTGAAGCAAATAGTACTTGATGAAACCAACCATGGAGTTTACTACCCACACGCCGTTCAAGACCGCTGACAGTGTCGGGTAGGCGGCCGAATACAAAATTGCCTGAGAACTGATTAAAATCGGAGGTTTCCATTTAGACTATAATGCATTAGTTTTAGCTCCACTGGTAATAACAACCTACTTGGTTAAATTATGTCATAGAGTGCTGCACCCACAGTGGTATATTGTACGGTGTAGTGTTTATTCCGCAATCACAACTCGCTCTATGCCTCCCATTTTCAGAGATTGGAGCATTTTTCCCAAGGGGCAGTTGATACATAGCTGGGTAGGGAGGTGCCTCTGAGTGCTCAAAAGTGTGACCATTTTTATATCTGGATAGTGGCAAAATCTATAGCCATATTTATACCAAAGTACCATTTCTGTCATCACTGTTTATTCCAAATAAAACAGTTACCGTATTTGCTCTATTAGAAGAGCATCTCCAATAGAAGAACATGCAAGCCAACAGTTGCATTGTATATTGATTTGTTACAATATGTATTTTGACCTTTTGACCATAGAAACACCTCTGTCACTTACATAATACCGATTCGGAAAAAAATTATTACCGATAATTATACCTATCTTGACCAGAAATAAGACAGATACTTAAACCTAAAATCAAAAAAACGAGACCCATTTCAGGGGCACGTCCCCATGTATTTGCCCCCCCCCCCCTAGGCATTTATCTCTTAGTCGTTAGAACAATATATAAAATGAAATAAATACCTTCGCGTGATCCTGTATCGGGTGTTCCAACTATGTGAAATGTCGAAGTCGTTAACAAGAGTGCCAATACGAATTGTATGATCTGCCATTGGTGCACTGTGTATTTACATATGCTAATTGGCAGACGACCCTTTATAAACGCTCCAAAAAATCCGTTAAAATTTAAAATACGTGCATAGACCAATCAAATGATCAATAGTTATCTGGTGTGTGGATATCACTAATATCCAATGGGTTGTATCACATGGAACAGACATGATACATCGGATAAATATATTTATACAAGCTACTTAGATAATCCGCAAAACGTGATTCATGTGAAATTTTGTAGTAGTAACACACACATGTATAAACATTGATGTATGTAAACCAATAAATCCTGTTTCACTCAGGGTTATGGTTAACTCTAAGCTCAAGACATTTAAATGTGACACTGACAATTACGCAATTAGCTAACGTGCGGAATATTCGGAAAAAAAATTAGACATCGAAGCCGATGAACATTTGTTTGCATTAAATACAAACTTTGTATTTACGGTGACAAAACTGTCTTCATGAACAAACCCCATGTTTGAATGCTAGGGTATGTGCAGGATTGTTTAACCAATACCACCAAGCTGTGTCATAATTGCTTTCAATGATAAAAATATTATATTCTGACAAAAATGACATCATAATATTGCCTCAAATGCTGGAAAGACTATTATTAGTTGTCATTTATTCAGGCTGTAGATATTTACCATATCACAGTGGCATAATACAAAATACGTACACATATTTCATGGCGCTAAAATGATGACGAATTAAGACAACCATTCGAAAAGTTCAGTCATTAGGGGTACAGTACATACGTGGACATACGAACTTGCCACCAAATATATCACACGTAGTCCATCCATTTCGCACTATTGTTTAATTTGGCAGGTTACAGCGTGTCGTAATTTTGCGGTATTTTACGGAGTATTTTCATCCTACCATATTAGGAAATGCGAATTCCAAATACGGAATGATTATGCGCGTAAGCGTTCTCTAATAATAATAATAATAAAATGGCTGCTACCAGGGTTTGACCGGACTTCACACAAATAAGTTCGCTGATTCTGTTCTAAAAATATGTATAATAATACGATTATTATGAGGATACCGCAAAGTACTCAGACAGTACGCCGTCGCGTCGACCTCCACTACGCGTCGGTTGATACCCTGGCTGTACATTCTTTGTGCATACTTTTCGGTATCCTCGTCATAACCACATATTATTCGTATAATGTCCCATTATCTACCAGTATTCAATTAGCGTGTTGAGCACAGTGCGTTTTAAAGTACTAGTAGTTCAATAATAATAATAATAATTTTCATGTAAATTTGATTTAGCTGATTTTACGTAACAGCGAAAATAGTAAAATTGACAACCCGGTGAATAATTAATGCATCTTCAGTTAATTATGACAGTTACCAACAAAATTACACATACTACATAATTACGTGTAATACAAAAATATATTCTGGCAGTAACTTCGTCACAACTCGTATAAGGTGTCATTGGTTTTCGTTTAAGCTATTTAAAAAAAAAAAACAAGTATTTCACCTGGGCATAGCAAAATAAAACCGCGCATGCTTGCGTCAGCTACTATATCGACAACGAATCGACCCACTAGGATAATGAAACACTCGTTTTGACAACGAATGGTTTAACTGAACCAGAATGCCACACATATATATTCCTTATGGATTGGTTAGTATGATCCACTGGACACCAAACTTCCATGTCAAAATAAAAAGATAAATCCGACTGACCTTCCATGATCACAGTACCATATATGAGAAATAAAGAACCAAATGATAACATAATCGAGCATACAAAACTGTGTTTAGGTCGGCGGAGGGGAAGACCGCCGCGAAGTGAAGCTGAGCGTCGGTTGAGTCATGCATGTAGTACATGTCTATTTGATTTGACATTTAGCATGCCAATTATTTGGTGTTATTTGAGGGGGGCAAGGGTTATTTTCGTCCAACGTAATTGCAGTATTTTTTTGTAATCACAGGCTAGACGTACAACGTAATCAAATACTTTTTTCGTACACTGTAAAAATGTGTCATTTTTTTCGGTACGGACGAGAATTTTCTAGGTTGTCTTTTTTAATTTTCCGTAAAATGTAAAATAACCTTTATTTTCTCTGTAAATTGTAAACATTCAATTTCACTGTAAACTGTAAAAACATCTCTTTTTCCTTGTAAATTGTGAAAAGCCCTTTTTATTTCCCGTAAAATTGTAATATCTTTGATAAAATGTTACGTCTGGAATGTGGATGATGTTTATTATTACAAATAGATTATACTTGCCGATGAGGAAATAATTATGTTTTTCGGAGCAGTACATATTATCATTTATTTCCTTCCTTGAGTGCAGTAAATTTTAGATAAACGCCTAGACATATGTAGTCATAACTTGCATGACATTGCTCCAGGCTTCATTATACACAATCAAGGAGCTGGAGCTCCATGGCAACGTGAAACAGTGGTGTTGTGTGTGTCCCGGTTCCGTATTTTCAGAGAATTGAACACTTCTTAATAAACAAATTGCTACTTTTAGAACAATGCCACAGGAACATTTGTTTACTGAAATACTTCTGAATAATACGTACATTCTGTTAACAGGATATATTTTGCGATAGCATAGCATCTCTGCCATAAAAACCAATAGTGAAAATGTTTTAATACTTAATATAAAGTCATGATTTCTCGACCTGAAGTACAATTTATGTGGAAACAAATACATATCTCAATATCAATGTCTGGTTTTGTCAAATGAATCAATATTATATACACTCGTCGTTTACAAGTAGAAACGCAAAAGCACATAATAGATTGACTTTTATTGTTTGTGTGTATTCAATCCATTTTGATACATATACCATATAACACTGTGATTGGTCTTACAAATGCGTTGTTCAACAAATCGAATGTGGTTGACGAAGGCCGCTAGGTTCTAGGATGTTTATAATTCCTACAAATGTAAAATAGATATGTATTACATTTTTTTTTCTTTTTTTCAAACAAATTAAAAGCAGGAGGGTCCACGCACGGGAATTGAGTCCTAAGCGAAGATAACAACACACGCTAAAAACGCAAAGATTCATGGGTAGACGCTTGTTTGTAAACAATGACACGCTATGGCCATCGGACGCATGCGCAGGTGACGACTACCTCGCTTTAAGCTTTTTTCTTCTTAAACAGTGCGTTTCTAAGTATAGGTGTATACACTCTCTGTGGATATATTCTACGCTGACAGTCAGCGTCCTTGGTTGCTTCTGGTCGTAAATGAATTTGATTCATTTTAACTCCGGGCGGTTCATAGACATTTAAAGACTTACCACCATTGACCAAACCGTCTTCTTGTAAACAACGTTGTCTGACGACTAGATTTTTATCTTTAAATTCTCTATCTCAATTCTCATTTTCTTTTCACCGAAGTTTCGTACTTTCCCCCAAAATGTCTTATTAAAGTGTTGGAATAGCGCTACGTCCCCTTTATTCCACTGACGAATCTTATTTTTCAATGTGTCTGAGAGTTTGTGAACGGATTGAGTCTCTCGACGATTCAACTCAAAATATGTAATATCATCTGTTGTCCAACACAGAAGATCTTTCAACAGAATAAGAGATTCCTCAAAGTGTTCCATAATCATTACAAGATCAAACTTGTCTTCCAAATGTTCAATAGTCATCTCAATTGCCCTGTCATCATCGAACGACATGTACGTAGCCCCTAGATTCAGCAACATGTGGTTCCTTGGTGTTTTCTTGTAACATTCGGATGGTGAATTAAAAAACTCATCAAGTGAGTTTGCGCTGTAACTGCGGATCCCACACGTTTTTCCGATTTCAAAATAAGTAAACGTACTTTCATAATGGGAAAGTGGTTCGCGTAATATGGTTATGTATACTGTGTTCTTCGGCATCATGTCTGTAATGACGTCATTATTGAAAACCGCCTCATGGCAGAATATATTATAGCCGCTTGGTGGCGGGCTTATGGCAAATTTCTTTTGAAATGCATATGGATAACCCAAAATCCATCCTTGGTGTGGCAAAACAAATGTCAGATTATTTCTGTCTCCATACCGACAGAAAATATTCTGTAATGTTGTTCCGCCTGCTTTTCTCGTCTTCAAGAATACTATGTTATTTCTTGGAATGCACGTAGGTTCGATAGTATGTGTTTCCTTTTTAATGCTCTCAATCTTAGTCTTGTTGTCGTCGATTAGTGGTCGTAAGGATTTTGCGTTTGTCCCAAATATGATAGAAAACAAGTGTCTGTAGAAGAAAAAACACAAACATATTTTGTGATGAGAATCTGAACATTTAATATGTAACTCACCAGCCCGCCATATGATTTGTTATTATGACAAATTATGCCAATTCACGAACGTTAATTTTCAAATGGAAAATCACAAGTGGATAGTTTCTTTTTTTTTATTTAACAAATTAAATTTAACAAAATGTATTGTACACAATCATATTATTATAATATTTTTTCTCTCCTTTTAAAATAATATATAATACTAACATGCGGGCATGGAATAGCTATTAATATGACCACCAGAGACGAACACGCGATGCTGTCGAGGTGAAACCGATATTAAAAATAATGCAGCAACAATGCTAGCGAGATCCATATTTGTAGTTCTCTTGAGCGCATAAAGAAGTAGCAACTAATAATAATGTTAATGATAATCAATTACATTTTCAACTTTAGATACAGTGTCATTTATTGCAAGTCGTATTTCAAACTGTCTGATCTCAATAATCGATAGCTCCATGTGCACGTGCTAGGTTTTCATGACCTCATTGTACATAACATGAACGTGTGTAGCGGAACTGTTGCTGTGTGCGGCATTTACTTTCGTTTGGAGTCATGTCATGCTGTAATATGATACCTGTCCGTTGTATCTGGCACGCCATATATGTCATTGAACGAACTGGGTAGTGGAATACAAACTGTCTAGTTTGCCGTACTAGACGTTACTACCACAGTCCTACCTTGTTATGTACAAGTATGTATGTGTTTTACTAATATATATGTCTACGTGTTGGGTTTATATTTGGATCAAAACCCTCGGGGTCACTAGTAGAAGCCTACCAATGCGTATGCGATGCGTTTAAGGGGTCTGTAAGGGGTCCCTTTTAGGCATTTGCAAGGATCAAAACTAACTGCGAAGTACTACATACGTATTGAAAAAAATAGGAATTGGCATTAAAGTGAATAGGAAGTTTGACACATCGGCGTTTCTCACGCTTTGGTAATTTAGTGACAATACATGTCGTTACATTATATTAATAACATGTATGTAAGTATTGAAATGCGTTAGTGTCGTTGTTCACGTACACTCTTAACACTCTTAAATACTATAAATAATATGTGGGCTATTAACGCCGATTTATTATTCCCGATTAAGCACTCGGTTTGCCAGACTGTGATGATTGATATCGTATATCGTCAAAATATGCACGCAGCCGTTTGTGATTTATTCTGTTACTGTTCCAGAATGAAATTTTAAACCTTATTATAACCACGCTGGTAAGGCCGATTGTCAAGTACACAGTGCACCATGCGCTAAAAAGAACAACGAACTGTATCCATACTACGATGAGGATATATTGCTGTTCAAAATAATTAACATTATTGGTATGCAATTCCCCATGAACACATGTACGCTCGTCCACTCACAATCTCTGGTGATATTTACATACACATCACTATAGTTGAGCGTGTATGTGTGTTTATGTATATCGAGGACATATATGGAATAACGGCTTGAATTTCAACACGTGAAAATATACTGGTATGCCGGATTGCATATATGTAGTACGAAATAAATGAAGAGAACTCCATCTGCCCTGCTTACGAACATTACATAGAGGGTATGCTGTTTAGCGTAGAGTGTTAACATATTCTAATGTGTCATGAGCTGTGCTACGGAATCTTTAAAACATGACTTGTTATGTTTGTCACTAATCATAATATAAAGGTTATTTTTTACATGGCTTGTACAATTAAGACTCTTACCTGTTGGTGTAATCGCTGTCACTTCCAATAAACATACACAGATATAAGGAAAGTGAAAATACGCACAGCATACACAAAAGTGTTCGCCCAGACGGTGTCTTCATTTTAGGAATCATATTTATTAAAATGCAAAGCAGCGAGTGCCCGTATCATCAATGATTGATAGTGTGTCAATGTCCTTCCATTTTGTATTGTTATGTAAATTGTTTCGTGTATTCCGTTTAATATTTGTTTATTCAATGCTTACTTTGGTTCATCGTAGTTATAATATTTGCGGTGTCTGTGTTTCTCACTATTGATGACTCGCGTTGGCATGGTAATGTGTAAATGTAAAATACAGGAAAAAAGATATTTTCACATTTTTTTTCAATGATTCATCGAGTATAGTGAAAATAAATTCTAAGTGAAAAACGTAGATTTGTTAACAGGGGTAGTATTGTAAATAAAACGACCACAAACAGATAGCTGACTACACTTGACAATACAAACTACAAGAATAAAGTACACAACACAACATATGTAAATCTATAAGAGTAAACTATATAGACTCGTGGTATACATAGCATAATGTCACATGTTTCGAAAAGAGTGAGAATAGTGAATCGGGGGAAAGTGATTCATCATTATGTTTTGCTGTTTAATATTCTATATCAGTTTCCAATTACCAAAAGAATTTCCTGAGCTGCCGTGTTCATTTGTTTTCGCAACCTTACCGACGAATTACTCTGACCTAAGAATAACATTATGGCATAGATAACATAACATGGAATAGTTTCATTGTTTTTTTCATAAACTAATTTGTGAATATAATCTACTATCATTATTGATAGTTGTATTATAAAATCTAGTCGCATGCATTTAACCATGTCCGAATACTTAATACTTGGATGAATTAAACAGTTACAATACTATGGGATTATTTGCACATTTGGCTTACTGATTTGACTACGTCCGGAATGTCCTTAAGATTGATTATTCACCAGTCATTTATTTGTTTTATGTTTTGTAAATTTCTCCTTTGGACTTGAATTTTGGATTTGTATTTTTGTACAATCATGCAACTACTGAGATCATGGTCAAGAACAGTTTAGTCAACACAATGATTGTCATCTATGAAATAAAAGAATATGTTTCCTAACTATTAGACGAGTGCGCATTGTTTCTATTGTTACACTTACTTCTTTGTGAAAATCTATAATTATTAAGTTACATTCAGTTAGTCCAACAGGGAAAAAAGAAGCGTTAGCACAATAACGAGTTTTGCAAATCACCTCTATCATTCAAAGGTTATTCGTTTGCTCCCAATGTTACACTGTTATAAAGCTTTTTATTTAAGATGAACCACGTGTATAACTTCACGCGTTACCATATCTCATCTGGAAATCGTTAACTATTGAGTGATAATTATAGTGCAGAATTAAGTTGTAATCGAGCATGCCTAAAGTGTCCATACTTTCAAAATATTGCACATATTGCAAAAGTACCGAATGATTTATGTGTGTGAGGTTCGTTCTACATGCATACACCATTATATTGGAATACTGATTTTTTTCATTCCAAGCATGTAGCTCTCTTCCAATTACCTCAGCGTACTAGAATACGAGAGACGGCGGTAGGCTTTATTTGTGACGTCAGCGATTCAGTATGTGCATGCCCATCTGTTCATTTACACATTTACTTTTTGAAACATGTGAATATACCGTAATAGCGGTTCGCCCGTTCTAAACATATATATATGTGCTTCCAGACTAAATTATATATATATATATATTTTTTAGTCTGGAAGCACATGAAGTACTGGTGCTCTACTGAGCTCCTGACTATTTCTGTCATTGAAATGATGTGCAACAGTTACTGTTTAAATTTGAAAGATTAAGAGCAAGTACCAATTACGTGGATTTTTAATCAAACACTGGCAATTTGTAGTAACTGATACATTTCGCAGATGCTGTACTAATTTTTTAACCTTGAATTCAGTCATGCAAGGTCTTCTTTCAAGTTCATGGCGAATCTCTATGTAATTACGCGGACGTCATGGCTGTCTCCATGGCTTCAGTACATTAACTATGGCAACCCGTATCAGAGGCGGCGACACGATATTTTGCATGAGGGGCGAGATCTGCTCACCAACATTGCGACCTTACTACACTGTAAATCTCGGAAGCACTTTTATGTTTTTCATTAAAACACACTGTTATAGACTGTTAACATTTTGTAGAATTTTGAATAGTGGAACATACTCAAAAGACGATTTTAAAATATAGAGAACAGGTGCAAACATTCTCTCTTTTGACTGCTTAGCAAGATTTAGCAAGGCTATATATAAATAATAAAAGAGAAACATGGTGAAAAAAAGAAATGATGGGACCTCCATATTATGCACTATATTTAACTTATTACAAAACGATAATACATTTTAAATTTGGAACTGTTACAGCCATTTTAATTATGAGCATTAGCAAACTTCTTACTGAGTGAATTGTTATGCAAATTAGCAATTATCTCAGCTTCTTTTTAGTGCACATTCCAGAACTTTGAAAAAAAATAGCTCCTAGAGGCTTTGACCTTTTGTTTTGAAATTTTCACAAATGATTGACAATGTGTTCATCTTCAAAACGCCGTCGGAGCATTGTTTTGGGTTGAACAGTGTTACAACAATCGTACATACAACTAGCCTGGGTGTTAATTTATGCATAAACTTGAATTAGTGAAATTTGAGCTGCTGCCCAGCAAAATTGACAACTGGTAGACAGTTTTCAAGACGGCACTTTCTTTATAGTAAACATATGTACCCGTAAACCAATTTTGACTCGAAACAGAGGCATGGTTTAGAAGCTATTTTTTTTAAATCACTTTTGACCAAAAAAGCATATTTTTGTGCATATATTTTAAACTACAGTGTCAATAAAAATAAAATACTTACAAAATTATTAAATTCATACAATAAGCTTTTCGAAAATATATAGTTTTGTGGACAAGGGAGGTTATCTTGGTTTCCTAATTAACTAATTAAAATACCTGTCAGGTAAACTGCATATCTACCTTAAGCACATTGTAAACAAACAAAATATATTTTTTGTCAAAATAAAACGGTGTCATAAATGTGTCATTAAAGTGTTTATGGATAGAACATTTATGGGCTTATGCATCCAACTTTATGCGAACAATATTAACAAAATTAAGTGAAACGTATGGGGGCGCGTGAGTAGGCATTATGGTATATATGCAAACTAGTCAATCACCGACGTAATTCAACGCATAATGAGATGGGTCATGACAATACCTCCAGAAAATAATTTTAAGTCAAGCACTAACCTATATGGTCTTACCAAACTAAGTACAACTAAGAATCGAGACACCTGGTGAATTAAGTACCTGGTGGCCTGACGGATTTTATTAATCCGCATTTGGTGAATGGTAGTTGTAGTTCCAATCACATCTGAGCGTTCTCACATGTGATTTAAACATGTCCAATTTGAACCACTTCAGAAATCACCAACGATTTTTCAACCCGAAAAACATCGGACTATAAATGTTTCGCAAAGTGTTAATGTATAAGTCTCATTTGTGTCCATGAGAGTAAAACACTAAAACATTTTTCTTCCAAATTGTTAAATTATTTTATCATGAAGCACTTCCTAAATCAAACACACATGTAATGTTTCAAGGTAAAACACCCGACTATGCATGTTTTATAAGTGTTTATGTATATGACATGTACAAACGGTCATAAGAGTAACTAAAGCACTTTTCTTTGAAACTGTCTTATTTTGAGGCACTTCAGAAAACAAACACACATGCAATGTTCCAACCTAAAACATCCGATTATATACAGGACACTTTTGTATGCCGTCTACAGTATGCATATATAATGTACACAACACTTATTATCGACTGTGTGCAGCATATTTATTGTAAAAAATGCTCACACACGTCACATTTGTCAGCAAGTCATTCTGTGCATGTAGCGATTTTAGTATTTTGTGAGTGTACATATCATGTTCCTGTCACAAGTTTAATAACCGATGGTGTTATTATCAATGTTCGAGTTAGTAAGCTGAATGACGCTGCGCTAAACAGGCATTAATTCCCTGTGATCTAATCATTAGATTCAATGTATTTACAGCTCTTATTCTATCGGCGGAGCCTCGGTGATGAATTCCAATATGGTGATTACCACGTACCTGTGCGAATTTGTGCCTATTGTAAACGAGCCCCTCTAAGCCTCTAATAATACATAACCATTCAATTGTTATTTAGAAATGTAATTAATACAATAAATACAATATAAAAAATGAATAATAAATATTTTGAAATACCTTACGTAAATGACGGTGGACATTAATGTATGTGGCGTGTTCAAGTAACTGGTAACATGTGTCGTGCGAATGCTCATTCATGACTGAATTATACTATTGGAGTGTGTGGACAGGTGGCATACTCGTTGAAGAAGCAATAACAACTTGAACCGAATGACGACTTTTTTGATTGTATGAGGAAAGAAGGGAACCGGAACTTATCCTAAACAAACCTAAAGGTTTGATGATATTGTTACTCCGTAACGAAGCGTGTGGCAAGTGTATTTGATATAGCCAGCGTCGGCAATTGTGTACTACATATATTGATATTTGCAGCGGCCTCCATTTATTTCGTTATGTGCATGATAACTGATAAAACTTATAAACTTTACTTTTCAGATTTTAAGAGAAACAATCGGATCGGACAAGATGATACTGGTAATATTCGGAATTAATTAATTTGAGTTATTGTTAGTTCAGTGCCCTCGTCTTCTATGCAAGAAGAACTTTGATTTAATAGGCAAATATAGTTTCAAAATACCACACAATTCATTTTAGGGGTGATTTTAAAACAACCTATTTAACGGATAGAAAATTAAAAGATGAATGAAATAGAATAGATGGAGTGCATATAGTCAGAGTCGAGGATTGAGTGTGAATGTATAAAATTTATGATTATATATATCTCACTATTTTTCCCCAAGAATTTGTGCCCGGATGGACTGCATCCGAGACAAGAATACCACATGAGAAGAGATTTGGTCTTTTCATTTATGTCATTGAGGAAAGGGTTCAAAAACATGTTT